CCCTTGTTTGTCCTGGTTAAATATTACCATTTTTCTGAACACAGGAAGATCCTGCATCAAGTGGTTCTAAAGACAAATGCCTAGAAGAGGAGGGTCAAAGTTCAGTCGGGTGTCTTGGTCAAGTGCTTTCTGATGCCCAGCCCTGGTTTCAGGTGCCAACCACAAAGGCAGCAAAACCCCCAGATCTGGGCAGCTGCCTGGAGTCACAGCTAAACTATATGAACCTTGCCATTTTCAAGTTTAAGTTCATTTTTAAGTTGAAGTCTATCTGGTGGTTTTGTGAATTCCCAAAGTGGGAGTCAGGCTGAGCCAACCCTCTCCGGAAAGTGGCAAAGCCCTCAGTGTCTGTGCAGGGAACTTCATGTAACTTTCTTCAAACCCAAATCACTTTTCTGTCACCACTTTCTCCTCCCACAGAAATTTTTCAAACCCTTGGGAAGCAGCCACACCACCAAGAAGATCTTCAACTGCAAGGAGGCAACGTGTGAAAGTGATATTGTGTGATTTGGCAACTACAAATGCTGAAAAGCTCTCTCTGTTCTGCGCCTCACGCTGCCAGCGAGTCCAGTCCCCCTCAAGATCAACGTCATCCATCTGGGGTTATCTGACAGAGATGACCAGTGGAAAGCAGCCCTGGCATTTGCCAGGGTGATGTGCTTTTTAGTGGACTGCTAAAATAAGAAAATGGACAGCACAATGCTTACTTTAGTCCTCTACCTCTTCATCACCCAACAAGACTCAATGAGAAACGTCTGGGAGCACACACACTGGAATCGGTCCAAAGCAGGGACCCACAGAACTAGAGGCTACAAAGCAGACACACCACAATTAATAGAAGGGTTAGGGAGTGCCACAGGAGGTTGTGAAATCGGCAACACTTGGCTTGCACTTCTTGCTTCCTCCAAGGAGTCTGGTTCAACTCTCCTACACTCTTGCAACTTCACTTTCCAGTCACAGTTCTTACTTTGCAAGTAGTTTTCTAACAATTCCAATTACAACTCCATACAAGGATGAGGCCCTAAAAGCCATGCCCACGATGCAGGGGACGAGGGTAGTGGATAAAGAACATGGACAAGAAAGCAACCCAGGGCGCCTCCCCGGTGGTGCAGCGGGTTGAGCGCAGTGCTATGAAGCTGTCCGCTTCCTCTGCAGTGCGGGTTTGATCCCGATCAGCCAGGGAGAAACCCACATGGCGCAGCAGACCTCTCCTGAGTTGCCTGCTGCTCCCCTCAGCAGTGTATTTCGGTCCGTCTGCCTGTTCTGCTCCCCACTCTGTCTCTGGTGGATCGTCTCACCCTCCTGCATCTTTGACCTGTACCCCAGTTCTTATATAAAAATAAATAAATCTTTTTTTAAAAGAAAGAAAGAAAGCAACCCAAGGCCTCCCTGATGGCTCAAGGGGTTAAGACGCAACCTATGAAGCTGTCCGCAGCCACTGCAGCACGAGTTCAATCCCCGGCCAGGGAGCAACCCACATGGCGCAGCAGACCTCTCCTGACTCACCCGCTGCTCCCCTCAGCAGTGTGTTTCAATTGATCTGCCTGTTCTGTTCCCCATTCTGTCTCCGGTGAATCCTCTCACCCCCCATCCATACCTCTGGCCTGTACCCCAGTTCTTGAATGCATAAATAAATAAATCTTTAAAAAAAAGAAAAAGAAAGCAACCCAAAGGCACACGGGAGTCTCAGGGGCTAATACAAGAACTCGCAAAAATAGGATTCCATGGCTGAATAACTTTTAGAAACGCAGGATCAAAGAAAGTTGAGCAAGCGTCTTTAATATTAGGATTTCTCAGAGCCTTTACCAAACTAATAAGCCTTGTGAATCTTCAAGGAAAATGGAATAAGTAGCAGTGGTTCCCAAACTTCTTTAATCCCCGAACCTGAACACCTTTCAGGGCTAGTGTTATTCAGAGACTTTCCATCCCCACCCACCGGAAAACAAAACAGCTTAGCTAATACTAATTTGTTCTTTTTGCCGCTACCAGTACTCTCATTTCAAGAGTGGTGGCAAAGGTGCTGATGTTACATGTTCCCTTAGCTGGCCTAAAAGAAGCCTAAGGCAAGGTAAGACCAATAGCTGAGCTGCTAACACCTTTAAAATAGTAGCGTCCTGGGAATGAGACCCAGGCCCGGGACCCTTCCTGCTGTGAATTAGTCAGTGACTCTGGCCTGTCCCATCCTCTCAGGGGTCTTGGTTTCCTCATCTCTAAACTAAAGGCGTTAGAAGAAATTTCCAAGGGTGTTCCCAGCTAATAGTAAGTCCAACATGGACTCTGGCAGTTAAGTATATATTGTTTCGTGGTTTTTTTTTAAGATTTATTTATTTAGGGCCTCCCCTGGTGGCGCAGAGTTTGAGCACTGGGCTGCGAAGCTGCCCGCAGCCTCTGCAGCGCCGGTTCAATCCCGGCCATCAGCAAGGGTCCCAGATGGCACACAGACCTCTCCTGCCATGCCCGCTGCTCCCCTCAGCAGTGTGTTTCGTCAGTCTGCCTGTTCTGTTCCCCGCTCTGGCTCTGGTGAATCCTCTCACCCTCCCGCGCTTCTGACTGTACCCAGTGCTTATATAAATAAGTTAAGTAATTTTAAAAAAAGATTTATTTATGCATACAAGAACTGGGGTGTAAGCCAAAAGTGTGGGGTGCGGGGCGGTAAGAGAATTCACCAGAGAGACTGGGGAGCAGAACAGGCAGAGCTACTGAAATACACTGCTGAGGGGAGCATCAGGGAGACAGGAGAGGTCTGCTCACCATGTGGGTTGCTGCCTGGCTGGCCAGGGATTGAACTTGTGCTGCAGTGGCTGGCGATAGCATGACAGCGCTGTGTTTTTAACCCCTGCACCACCAGGAAGGCCCCAGTTAAGTATATTTTCACAGTCCACCATGGAGTGACGGGAAAAATGACTGCTCTAAAGGCTGACTAGGTGTGACAGGCTCCTGAGCTGTGCCAACACCCTGGGTAAACGAGGCTGGGCTCACACCCAGTCCACGACAGGCTATGCCCTCCCAATGTCCCAGCCCTGGCAATCAGGGAAGTAGACACTACCATCACAAGGAGAGGGAAGGCAGCTTTCCAGGAGAAGGAGCTTGGGGCCTCACAGCCAATACTCCTTTGCTCTCACAGCTATGTGCCAAGAGGAAAAACCCAGCCAGTAACTCTTCCCAGTAAGGAAGAGCCAAATTGCAGCCAGACAGCCCTCCTTCCTACACAGGATTCCCCACCAGATGTTGCTGTTTCTAGGACCACAGCTGCTTCCTGTCCTGCTGTGTCCTGGGGCTGCATGATGGACAGACTCTTGCTTGAATGCAGAAGTTACTCTGACCGCAGTTTGCACAATCACTTCTGGGGCTGGAGATGTGATGTTTAAGACTTTTAAGCTATTAATAGTGGGGAGAACTCAGGCAAACTATCCTGCCCACTGCTAGATTGGGGGACAGGCTCTCTGCAGCTTTTGACAGCTGACTGCCTCTGGCTGCCAGATATCTGCAGTCATGTGCACTTCTGACTCTGACAGCGGGGGAAAAAAAAAAAAGAAATCCTCACAAAGGCTACCACACTCCAGTGTTCTACAGCAGTTTTGTAATTAAACAAAAACAGTCACCAGAAGACACTGGCAGGGAAAAAAGCAAATGTTCTTTATTTACTCAAGTAACAGATGACTGCATTATGTAAGAGTCAAGGTCCTTGCAGAGGTTCTGTCAAGAAGCGTTAAGCTACAAGAGGAATATTCTGAATTCCCTGGTACTACAAGGAACAAGCTACCCAAATTTGCCTTGTGGGCTCCTATTGGCTAAGCCACCTTAAGACCAAGAAACAAACAATTTTCTAGTCTCCTTTGTCTTTGCTCTGACCCTTGAAGGATTCGTGGTGGGAAAGCTCACGCTGTGAGTAGCAGGAAGAATCCTTCTGAGGGTTTCCCCTACACCTGCAGGAAACTCTGAAGCTGCCACTGACCAAAATAAAGTGCAAGCAGTGTAAATTCATGTGCCTGGTGACATCCTGACTGAGCAGAACACTCAGGGCTCATAAGCCATGGGTCAGCACAAGCAAGTTCCCTAGAACTGGTTTTGAGCAGACCGGAAAAAAGAGGCAAGGAGCTCTGGAGCTGACAGGAGCCAGTCCTGCCCCTTCATCACATGCTCTTAGCCCAAAGGCTGAAAGGTTTTGGCTTTCAGCGGGATTATTGTTTCTTCCTCTCTGTTTGTCCCAAACGTCAGGTCAGCTCCAAGCGCCTTCCCAACGACTGTGCTGCTGCTGCCACCCCCCCGCCCCCCACAAGCCCATCAGATCAGCATTCTTTATACTTCAAGAACCTCAAGGCCCCCTGACTTCTCCTCCCTCCCAAACTCAGGTCTTCCTGGCTGGCCAGATCCAGTCCCGGCCGGACCGATGGACAACGTGTGGCATTCTTACCGAGGCCATATTCCGGCTTGGGTTACCTCCCCGCTCTCTCCCTGAAAACTTTTCCTGAAAACTCCCTGGGCTTCAGGCTAGCCTGGCTGCTGGGGGGCAGAGGACGGGGAGTCTTGGGACTTCCCACATTTCTCCCTCCCACCGGCGGCTCGCAGCCCCCTCATTAGGTCGCTGTCACTCCACCCGAGAGCGATTCACGGCAGGGGTCTCCCCAAAACTGTGGGGTGGGAAAGCTACACCTGACCGTCACGACGGCGCCCCTCTCCCTGGCGCTGGGGGCGCGCCCTGACGTGTCTGCTGCAGCCCCCGACCCCAGCAGCCCCCGTCCCCAGCAGCCCCCGTCCCCCCAGTCGGGGGGCTCGGGCTGGGGCGCTGGGGGCTCCCACCTCGTCCCCGGCTCCGGCCCCGCCCCCCCGCGGTTCCACCAGGCTAGTCCCGCCCCCAGGCGCTGCGATAGGCCAGGCCCCGGAGCTCGCCCTCTCATTGGCCCGAGAGCCCGTCCCTCCTACGCCACGTCTCCCGGCTCTGGCGAAAGAGGCCCGGGGTGGCAGTCCGGGGCGCCGTGAGGAGCCTGAGTTAGGGGCGCTACCTGGAAGGGGTTTACGTCCACTGGGTCCGCGAAGGGGTTGGTGTCGAAGGACGACATGGCGATCGGGGGCCGACGGGCAAGCTCCGCGAGCGCTTCTGGCTGCGAGCATCCAGCCCCAGCGACGCTCTGCGAGTAGCCCCTCCACTTCCGGGAGCGAGCGGCCGTTCTGGCGCAGGCGCAGCGCCTCCCGGGGCGTGGCCTCGTGACGCCACAAAGCGCGCCCCGCCCCCTGCCCGGCCCGCTCCAGCGCTGCGGCGGGCGCTCCCCGGCCGCTCCCCGGCCCTTCGCCTGTGCTGGGGCGGGGGGGGGGGGGGGGGGGCGCAGGTGGGGGGCGGGGGGGGGAGCAGGTGGGGGGCGGCGCCCTTCCCGGCTCCCTCGAGGCCTGGCAGCTTCCAACTCTGTGTTGCAAACCCCCCAAAGTAAAAGTGGGACCCGGAAACCGAACCCCCTCCCTTCCCTTCCCTGGAGCGCGAGCCTGGGAGTCCGCACAGACCCAGGCGGGGGCTGCGGGAGCCCGGCTAGACCCGCTCCGAAGGGGCCCGGCAACAGGGACCTAGCAGAGGGGTGCTATCCGAAGAACGGGCTGCATTCGTCCCCCACGCGGGCTCGCCCTTACTTCTATTATTTTTTTATTTTTTTTTAAGATTTATTTCTTTATGCAAGAACCGGGGTACAGGCCAGAGGCGCGGGAGGGTGAGAGGATTCACCAGAGACAGAGTGGGGAGCAGAACAGGCAGACTGATGAAATACACTGCTGAGGGGAGCAGCGGGCGTGGCAGGAGAGGTCTGCTGCACCATGTGGGTAGCTCCCTGTCTGGCCGAGAATCGAACCCACGCTGCAGAGGCTGCAGACAGCTTCAGCTTCACAGCGTGGCGCTCAACCTGCTGCGCCACCAGGGAGGCCCCCTACTTCTTTTAGACCTTGGGGAGGCCCCCTACTTCTTTTAGACCTTGGGGAGGCCCCCTACTTCTTTTAGACCTTGCCAGGTTTTATCATTTTAGGGATGAAGATAGCCCTGAGCCCAAAAGATTGCCCCCACTTCAGATGACAATCACAAGTAATTGGTTGTCACTTTACGTCTATCAATCAGGATCCCCTGAACCCCTCCTCAGGTCAATAATTTGTTAGAATGACTCCCAGAACTGGGGCCTAACTGGTGGCACAAGGGGGTTAAGACACAGCACTATGAAGCAATCCGCAGCCACTGCAGCACGAGTTCGATCCCCAGCCAGGGAAGTGACTCACATGGCACAGCAGACCTCTCCTGACTCACCCACTGCTCTTAAAAAATCTTAAAAAGGGCCTCCCCGGTGGCGCAGCAGTTGAGCGCTGGGTTGCGAAGCTGCCCACAGCTTCTGCAGTGCCAGTTCGATCCCCGGCTGCTGGGCGAGGGTCCCACATGGCGCGCAGACCTCTCCTGCTGCCCGCGACTCCCCTCAGCAGTGTATTTCGTCAGTCTGCCTGTTCTGTTCCCCCTCTGGCTCTGGTGAATTCTCTCACCCTCCCGCGCCTCTGACTGTACCCAGTGCTGGTATAAATAAAATAAATAAATCTTAAAAAAAAAAAAAAACCCTTAAAAAAAAAAAAGACTCCCAGAACTCAGGAAAAGACATTTATGGGTTTATCATATAATAAATGATAGGATAAGAATACAGATGAGGGCCTTCCTGGTGGTGGAGGGATTAAAGTCTTAGCACTACCAAGCTATCGCTAGCCACAGCAGCTCAAGTTCGATCCCCAGCCAGAGAGCTGATCCACATGGCGCAGCAGACCTCTCCTGTCTTGCCCGCTGCTCCCCTTTAAAAATACCGATAAATAGCCGGTTCATCTGTATCATCGAGATCCACAGGGCATAGGAGTTTCTGTCCCATGGAGTTGGGGTACACTACCCCTCCAGTATGTAGATGTGCTCACCAACCCGGAAGTATTCCAAAGTCCATAGTTCAGGGATTTTATGGCGGCTCCATCACATAGGTGTGAGCGGTGGTGAACTCAATCTTCCCTTGCCTCTTCTCGGAGGACGAGCCGTGGGGCTCCAAGTTCCAAATTTCTGATCATGTCTTGGTCTTTCTGGTGACCGAGCTCCATTTCAAAGCTATATAGGAGCCCACCAAGAGTTGCCTTATTAGGACAAAAGATCCAGAAAATTCCCAGGGGTTAGGAACTCTGACCAGGTGCTGTTATTATATCACAGGCAGCGTACAAACCTTGGCTGCCCCAAAGGAGAACAGTCCACACAGCAACCTACCTCTGTCTCCCCAGACTAATACCATGCTGAACTGGTGAAAACAAGATGGAACTTGATACCGTCCATGTGGAGTCTGCCCACCCATCTGTCTCTAAAGTCTCTAGGATCTGTCCATGTCCCTGCGAAAGAGACACCATTTATTCCCTCACTTATTCAGCAAGGGAAGAGATGTGGCAGTTTAGAACTGTTGTGTTCTTGGACCCGCAACTTCACCTCTCCCAGACCCATCTTCCTCACTCTAAAATGGGGCTTAAGACCCATTAAGGCGCAAGGGGTTAAGTCGCAGCACTATGAAACTATCAGCAGCCACTGCAGCACGAGTTCTATCCTACATGACACAGCAGACCTCTCCTGTCTTGCCTGCTGCTCCCCTCAGCAGTGTATTTTAGTAGATTGCCTGTTCTACTCACCCAGTCTGTCTTTGGTGAATCCTCTCACTCCCCCGCACCTCTGGCCTACACCCCAGCTCTTGTATGCATAAATAAATAAAATCTTTTTTTTGAAGAGCTATACATTTATGCATACAAGAGCTGGGGTACAGGCCAGAGGTGCAGAGTGTGAGAGGACTCACCAGAGTCAGAGTGAGGAACAGAACAGGTGGATTGACCAAAATACGCTGCTGAGGGGAGCAGCAGGCAAGACAGAAGAGGTCTGCTGTGCCATGTGGGTCAGCTCCCTGGCTTGGGATTGAAATCATGCTGCAATTGCTGCGAATAGCTTCATAGTGCTGTGACTTAACTCCTTTCACCACGAGGGAGGCTCAATGAATAAAATAAATCTTTCAAAAAAGAAAAAAGAGGGCCTCCCTGGTGGCGCAGGCAGTTGAGCGCAGCGCTGTGAAGCTGTCCGCAGACTCTGCAGCGCCGGTTTGATCCCGGACGGTGAAGATCCCACAGGGCGTGCAGACCTCGCCTGTCTTGGCCGCTGCTCCCCTCAGAGGTGTATTTCATCAGTCTGCCTGTTCTGTTCTCCATTCTGTTTCTAGTGAATCCTCTCACCCTCCCGCGCACCTGGCCTGTACCCCAGTTCTTGTATGTATGGATTAAATAAATAAATCTCTAAAAAAAGAAAAAAGAAAAAAGACCCATTAGGGTTATCTTGAGAATGAAGTGAGTCTCTTAGGGTTGTCTTAAGAACGAAGTGAGAGAAGTCCTGAGAAGGAATTGGCACAGTGTCCAGTGTCTAGCAAGCAATGGATAGTGTTCAGTCTATAGCAAGCTAATATTATAGCTGGAGTGCTCAGCGAGGAGCTGGAAGAAATGGAAAGCTGAGTTAGACGCATGGTCTAGTAGGAAATAGAGCAGAGACTAGGTAATAAAACAAAATCAGTGTAAATAGAAACTGACAAGCAAGAGGTAAAGGTCAGAGATTCGAGGTCCTACAAACACCCTACTTTCCCTGACAGATATATCATTTTCTGTGTGTAGGGAGGGTGGCGTGGAGTGGGGACTTTGTCCCAACAATCTAAGTTCTTTCTCCCCTGGGCACAGATCCTAGGAGGAAGTGACTCTAACTCTGGCTTCAGTGGTGGTGACAGTAGCAGGAGGTGCTCCAGGAACCTCCTATGACTGAACAAATTCTTCTCCCAAAACATTCATATGGCCAGGGGAGTGGAGATGTGGGGAAGAAGAGGTATTCTTGGTAAGAAGGTGTGTGAGACATGCTGTTTGTATGATTCCTATTTTCCATTTATTGTTCCTTAGTGTGGGTTGAAACTTCCTCTGAAACACACAGGTTGATTTATCTGATTCAGGGAACTTCAGGGGAAGATGATGCCACATCAGCAGAACACTACAGAGAAAATGGTACCACTTTTCCCCCAGCCATGTGTGATGGAAGCTTGCAGGATCAGTGTTTATGAGTGTGGGGGTGAGTTGGGGGAGGGCGCTAAGGGGACCCACAGTCAGGACTGTGGGCCCTCACTCCTGGTTCTCTGGAGTTTTTGGCTGCTGTGTTCCTGGGCCCTTCAGTTGGCTGCCCTCCTCTTAGGCTTTTGACTGAAGAGGTCCAGATGTCAGAGCCTTTCTCCACAGGCTAGAGCAAAATCACTCCACAGCCACAGCCCAGCCCAGCCTTTGCCATGCAGGTTCCTGGGGACTCTTGCTCACTTCTGTCTGTGCAACTGTGAGCAGCTGAGCCTGGCAGAGAGGCTGGAATTCTGAGTCCTGTGGTACTTGTGGCAGGAAGGATCAGAGAAACATGAGCACTGACTGCCTTAACATCCCCTATCATCCCATCTGACCCTCCAAAAAGCATGATTTTACAGTGTGGGTCAGATTATCCCCGTTTTTATGTGGGTCAGCATGATTATCCCCATTTTACAGTGAAAGAAAGTGAAGCTCAGGTTAAGGGCCTTGCATCTGTTATCATTATTGAGTATCCATGAGTCCCTCCTTGGATCACAGCAATTCTTTGCTGGAACAGACTGATGACTGAGATTCTCAGTAAAGCTGAGGCTCTCTCAGCAGTCTGCACAGCATTGATCGTGGCCTCCTCTCTGACCACCTCACTGCCCTTCTTGCTCTGCTCCGGCCACACTGGCCTCTGTGCTATTTATCACCGGGCGTGACAGGCACATTCCGCCCCTTGAGGACCCTTGCTCTAGCTGTTTCTTCCGCCCACAACATTCTTTCATCCTCAACTCCAAGTCTGCTCAAATCTCACCTTTTCAAGAGACTTACACCTAGGCAACCTGCGAAATTCTGCAGACCGCCTCCCCTCTCACCCATCCTCCTTACTATTTATAGCACTTACCTTTCAACACTCTGTGGTTTACTCATTGCAAAGGGATTGTTATCTTCGCTGATGCATCCAGGCCTTAGGTCACCCTAAAGCATTCCACAGGTTCTCAATAAAAAGATGTCCGGTGAAGGCAGGATAAAGGAATAAATACTGAGAGCCAAGATCACAGGCGTCGGCCTCCGGGACGGTGCGAGTTCCCACGGCTAAGCTGGGGATGGCCGAGGATCTTCCTCCGGGGGGGGGTGGGGGAGGGGCGGCCTCCGCTGGCCCCCGGGGAACTACACTTCCCGTGAGGCTCTGGGCGCGGGCCGCGGGGGCTGCCGGGAAGGCAACGCTCCTGGAAGCCCGGCTGGCGCGGGAGGATGGCGGCCCCGCGAGGTGGGCGCCCGGCTCCGGCTGCGGGCGAGCAGGGGGCGCGGGGGGCGAGAAGGGGGGCCGGGGTCGCGGGCCCGAGGCTGCCCGCCCTGCCCACGCTGCGGCTCGGCGGGAAGATGCCGCGGGCGCCGGGCAGCAGGGCGAGCCGGGGGCGTGGGCGGTCGTGCTAGGGGGAGGGGCTGCGGGGAAGGGGCTGCGCGGGCCCCGGAGAAGGGGTGCGGAGGGAGCGGGGCCCCCCCACTGCCCCCTCACTCCGGCCCGGCCGCGTGGCTGTCTGTACACGTCAGCAGAGAGCCTGGCTGCCGCGCTGCAGATGGGGACACCGAGACCAGCAGAGAAGGGGCGCAACCGACACCCCACAAGCTCCTTTGACTCTGCCCCGGAGCAATTCATGGCTGGGCTCCCCGGCACAGGAGCGTCAGGCCCGAGGAGTGGGTGGAAAATGATGCTCTGTCTGTGCCCCCAGTGTTCCCACTTGCCCCTGCGGTGCAGCAGTATGGCTGGGGGAAGAAGGGTTCCAGCAGCGAGGTGGCACGTCTGCTGGCCAGCAGCGACCCACAGGTCCGGATCTCAGAAGACAAGCCCTATGCAGAGGTGAGACCCGGGCTTTTTTCAACCCACCTTACCAGCTGGTGAGACCTAAGGACTCCTCCACTCAGGGGAGCAAGTCATAGGGTCAGCTGGGATAGGAGGAGGCCTGCTGATGGCCCCAGACAGTGGCCCCACAAGAAGAGGGGTGTTGTCATTAGAGCTTGGGATTTCTCCTACCTTCCTACCCCCCAAGAACTATCGGCATTTGCTGAATTCTAGTTTAGCCCTCTTTGATAATTAAAACAGTTTACTTTCACATTTTAAATAACTATGCCATTTGTTCCTTCTGCCTATCTAGTAAAGCCAAAAAAAGCCTCTATTTCTGAAACTGTTAAGTGGATATTAATCTCTCCTGCAGCCATTTGAGAGTCGCAGCTCTCAAATCACAGAGCAAGCTGGATTCTCATTAGGGAAATTGAATCCTTGAGACAGAATATAACTGGCCCAAGATTCCACAACTAGTTAGAGGAGAACCAGGACATGGCTCCACATTGTCTGGGGCCACTACCTCCTTCTATGTCTAAATGGCAGTGTTTAGACCCTGTCTTGGGGGCAGGCCAACTGCTTGTGCAGATTCTTCTCTCCCAAGTTTCCTGTTTTTTCAGCTGTGGATGGGAACCCACCCCCGGGGAGATGCCAAGATCCTTGACAACCGCATCTCCCAGAAAACCCTAGGCCAGTGGATTGATGAAAACCAGGACTGCTTAGGCTCAAAGGTCAAGGACACCTTTAATGGCAAGCTGCCCTTCCTCTTCAAAGTGCTCTCAGTTGAAACAGCCCTGTCCATCCAGGCACACCCCAATAAGGTACAGAATCAGAGTGGGGCCCAGACACCAGGGAAGAGAAGAGAAGAGCTTATGTCAAGGCCCTCCCACAATTTTTACTGCTGCTTTTACCCCAATCCATGCCAGGTTCCAGCCCAAAGCTAAATTCAGGCCTGACAACTCCCAATTTAGCTCCACGAGGCCAGATGCTGGTGACGCATGCTGGCAGCTATGTCTGAGTGGATAGCTGACCAGCCTGTGCCAGGGGAGCTTCCCCAAGCTGGTTCCTGGGAGCTTGAGCCTAGGCTCTCCTCTCCCAGTCCAGGACTATTCATATCTGCCATTTCCCCACCTGTCTCTGGGAGAGTTCACCTTCCAGGGCAGAGCAGGTACCTGGCTCTATCCCAAGAGTCTTTGTGCACAAGGCACTGAGTCACAGCCACACACTGGTCTATCCAAACTCTTTTCTAGATGGGTAGGTTAAGACCCAGAGAAGAGAGGGATTTGCCCACAGTCACATAGCTTAATGTCAGAGGCTGGCTTGGTATTTAGAGTCTCTGATTCACAGTCCTGAAGTCTACCCAGCTAACACCCAGATTTGGCCCCTGTCCCTTCCCTATCAGCTGAAAGACTGAGTTTCAGAGTCTTTGTTTTGACTGGGCTTGTTGCCAGATGCAGGAACCTATTGTTTGGCTGTTTGGCAACTGGGCAGGGCAAAAAGCGAGGGCAAGGTGGGACTGGTGTCCTGCTTGGTGATGGCTGTACCAAGACTCTCTTCCTCTTCCCCTGGCCACCCTATAGGAGCTGGCAGAGAAGCTGCACCTCCAAGCTCCACAGCACTACCCTGATGCCAATCATAAGCCAGAGATGGCCATTGCCCTCACCTCCTTCCAGGGCTTATGTGGCTTCCGGCCAGTTGAGGAGATTGTGACCTTTCTGACGAGTAAGGTTGGGCAAAATGCTGAGAGCATGCGCATTGGGCCTGGGCTACATGGGGACCCAGGGCACAGCTGAACAGGAGCAGAGAGCCAAGGCCGAAAGTCCCAGGAACTGAGGGGCTGGTGGACCTCAGGAATTCTGGAGCCTCTGGGCAGGCCTGTGAGACCAGGCTCAGGTGTGATTGGTTGCCAAGGGCTGGTGGTGAGTGGTCGATTTTGACTGCAAAGTTTGCATGGTATTGCCTGGCTCCTTGGTTAGGGATGGCATGGGAGGTTTCCTCCAGCTCCCCACCTCAGGGGATGCCACTTTGCCATTCCTGATACGGGCCTGGCCTTCCTGCAGAGGTGCCCGAGTTACAGTTCCTGATTGGAGAAAATGCGGCAACACAGCTGAAGCAGAGCATGAGCCGTGACTCCCAGGCCGTGGCCTCTGCTCTGCAAAACTGTTTCTCCCACCTAATGAAGAGTGAGAAGAAGGTGGTAGTGCAGCAGCTCAACATGCTGGTGAAGCGGATCTCCCAGGAAGGTGGGTGTGATATAGGTGGCGTGCAGGGCTGTGTTCTGGGCCCCCAGAACAGACATAGGCTGTGGGGACAGGGTTCTCCACCCCTTTGCTCAGGTTCCACTTGAGCCCAACTTAGGTGGCCTGTCAGTGACTTCATGCTTCTTTCCCAGTCTCTGGAGCAGGGCTCTAGGTTGAAGGCTGCTTCCTAACCAGCTGTCTTCTCTGCTTGGTGGGAGGCAGACTGGCCTAGAAGCTTCAGGATGTCTTTCACCCGAGCTTCCTGAGACTTCCCCAGCCCCATGGTGGCTCCAATGGATGAATTTGCACTTGGGGGCTAGAGAGCAGGGAGGGGATCCTCTTCTCCAAAAGCCTGATGCCCAGAGCTCCCTGCTACGTGCCCAACCCTGTGCTAAGACCTCTGGACAGGACTGCGATGGGCGTGGTCATGTCACCTTTGGGCTGGGAAGTCAATCCCAGCAGTGACTCTCAGCCATGAGCTGATGTGGCCCGTCATCAGGCCCAGCCCCTTCTACAGGTGACTGCCTGTTGTCCTGCTGCTTTCTCTATACATTTCTTCCTTTGAGCCCCAAGGGGCTATTTATTTTACTCAAGGGTACCCTGTGTTTTCTTTGTTTTGGTGTTTTCTCTGCTTGCATGCCTCTCCTTCTTCACAGCAGAACTGACTACTGCTGGGAGCTCCCGTCACATCTGGTTGTATATCATGTGTAGCTCTGACTCCGTAGCATCACACACGCACCTTTAAAGCCGGGCCTCCCCAGCCTGGAACCTGGCTCTTTGAGCTTTCAGCATTCAGCCTCTGGAGGGCAGCCCTGCAATCCAGACCAGCTGATGTCTCATTTTGTTTACAAACCTGGTCCCGCCTCCTCTGCAAACTCAAGAGGACTCAGCTCATGCCTCCCTTCCTTGCCCCCACTTCCAACAAGCCTTTCCTCCCCACGCTAGCCCAGCTGAGCTCCTTCTCCTGGTCAGTCTTCAGGACACATTTTGGTGCATTCTGCCTCATACTATCTGGGGTGAACAGCCATCCCTGTAAGCCTGGGACTGAGAGATCTTCTGAGACACAGTACTTTCAGAGCTACTAAAGGGAAAGGCTGGGCTAACTGGAACAGTTAGACACCCTACATGGAACTCTGGATTAGCTCCCTAATTACATCTTTTTTTTTAAGATGTATTTATTTATGTATACAAGAACTGGGGTACAGGCCAGAGGTGCAGGAGGTGAGAGGATTCACCAGAGATGGAACAGGAGGAATGACTGAAATGCACTGCTGAGGGGAGCAGCCAGCAAGTCAGGAGAAGTCTGCTGTGCCATGTGGGTAGCTCCCTGGCTAGGGATTGAACTCATGCTGCAATGGCTGCAGATAGCTTTATAGGTTGCATCTTAAGCCCTTGTGCCACCAGGGAGGCCCCCCTAATTACATCTTGAGCTGCTAGATCACTGGTTCTTAGCCAGGGACACTGGCAATTGTCTGGAGATATTTTTGGTTGTCAAACCTGGGTTGGGGGTGCTAGCGAGGTCTCCTGGGGAGTGTCCAGGAGTGCTGAGGTTGAGAAACACTGCAGAAGCCCTCTCTCGTGTCTGGTGCTGCAATGGGCACCGAGGTGATCGGGATGGGGAGATGGCACCTGCGTTTCCAGGAAGGCTGGCCACCCCTGAGCTGGGGGTGTGGCTAGGACAGTCCCACCGCTTCCTGGACTCCTTCTGCATGCCTCCCTGACCAGGATGGGGCTGTGAACACCACTGTTTCTAAGTGCCCTCGGGTGTTCTGTGACCCTCAGTGGCTGCCAGAAACAACATGGAGGATGTCTATGGGGAGCTCTTGCTGCAGCTGCACCAGCAGTATCCAGGTGATATCGGGTGCTTTGCCATCTACTTCCTGAACCTGCTTAGCCTGAAGCCAGGGGAGGCCATGTTTCTGGAGGCCAACGTGCCCCACGCCTACCTGAAAGGAGGTGAGCTGCATTTCAGCAGTTAAACCCCCCAGCCCCCCGGGCCTTGTTTCCCCATGGGACGGGGGGAAAGAGAGTGGTCGAGACCTTCTCTAAGGACCCTTCAGCTCTGACCTCCCAGGGTTGCTGGGGAGAGCAGGGATGCGAATGGCAGCGTGGGTTGGACACCGCTGAGGCTTCACACCAGCCCTGGGAAGTCCTGGCGCACTGAGGCTGAGCCCTGTCTGTAAGTGTGGGGAGCACAATTTGCACCCAGGCTCTACTGGATTAGGCTGCTGCTCCCCTGCATCACACTGCCTTGTCTGTCCTAACTAGCCAGAGATCCCTACACTAAACACGCCGCCACAGGACACACATTTTGATTGTTGGCTGCTTATCTGCTCACGGACAGGATTCTGTGGTAGAATAGGCAGTCCGGGGAAGTTGGGGCTCCCCTGGGGGTTAACCTGACTCCTCCTGACAATAGCAGATGACCAGTACCAGTCTTTGCTATCTGCTCTTTGCCCAGTCCCCCACAGAATGCAGTTCACATTTCCCCCAGCTCTGCAGGGGGTTCATGGGGCTCAGGTTGGGAGGCCCAGTTCTCAACAGCTGAACTCCAAGGCCTCCATCATCTTCACCTATTACCACCATTTGCCCCCAGACTGTGTGGAGTGCATGGCGTGCTCAGACAACACGGTGCGTGCTGGCCTGACTCCCAAGTTCATTGACGTGCCGACGCTGTGTGAAATGCTCAGCTATACTCCTGGCCCCAGCAAGGACAGGCTCTTTCCTCCAGCACGGAGTCAGGAAGACCCCTACCTCTTTGTCTATGACCCCCCTGTGCCAGACTTCACTGTCATGAAGATGGAGGTGAGTGAGGGGCCACGGTGGGTGTCTTGTGGCAGGAAGAACCCTGGCAAGGGTCGCAGTGTAGAGTATGCCTGGGGTTGGGATTCCTTTCTGTGACGCTCACCCTGTAAGGGAGGGGCCTGCTCCTGCCATGCTGACAAGGACCGGGCAGTGGGACGGCGGTACGGAATGCTGGAATGCGCCCTCTCACAGCCTTTGGGTTGTCTTGACCCCTTTGCAACTGACAGGCAGAGTCTGAGCTGTACTATCCAATTATTCCTTTCTGTCCAGGTCCCTGGCTCTGCCACTGAATACAAGGTCTTGGCACTGGACTCTGCCAGCATCCTCTTGCTGGTGCAGGGGACAGTGACAGCGAGCACTCCCACAGCTCAAGCGGCAATCCCCCTGAAGCGTGGTGGGGTGCTCTTCATTGGTGCCAAAGAGATGGTCTCACTGCAGCTCGCCATGCCCGAGGACCTGCTCATGTTCCGTGCCTGCTGTCTGCTGTAGAGGACTCAGCCTCCACTGTCCTCTGCCAGGCACCTGAAATCTTGGCCCAGCCCAAACACCTTCACTGCTCTGGACTCTTTGGGTACATCCTAGAAGAGATGGGGTATAGGAACAAGCTTGACGGTACACCTCCTGAGCTCACCTAGACAAAACCATCTTATTTCTGGGCGGAGGGCCCACATGAGCAAAAAGGGCTAACACTCCTTTTCAGTCACACCTCTCCCTGCCACAGCTGAGCCAGGCTCCTGTGCTGCAGGAGGCAGCAGCTCTGTTCCAGCCTCCAGCACTAGGCAGGCTGGTGACATCTGTGATAGCTCGGCATTAAATACATCAAGCGGCTAGGTTATTCATTTCTAAGAACAGGGTACTGGCCCTGGGACTGCCTGTTTACTCGGCGGCAAAGCAGGGAGGTTCGGTGTGTGGACTAATGCGGACATCATCACCCTTTTCTCTGTCAAAGCAATTAAAGATTAAGTCTGTCGGTGTGTTCAGGCTGTGAGGTAAAAAGCCTCAGCCTTTTGCATTCCAGTTCCAGAAGAGGCTGAAAGGATGTCCATTTTTGCTTCATTCCTGCATCAAACAGGTCCCTAGGGTGGGCAGGCTGGACCCAGAGCCCTTTCATAGGAAAGTGTGGGATTGCTCTCAGATGCAAAGCTAGCAGGCAGGCCTTGGGCCCTCCGGCCCTGGAGACAGAGGAAGGTGGGGCTAAAAATGTGCACTGTAAGTGCACGATTCTTCCCTCCAGTTTGAGCTGGTCCTAGGGCAGGGGTCAGCAGGCTAGATCTGGCCACATCCATTCATTTACACACTATCCATGGCTTTCAAGCTACAAGGGCGAATTTAAAATATGCTGGGATGTATGGCCTGAAAAGCCGAAAGTATGGACTCTAGCCCTTTACACCGCAGCTTGTGAACCACTTCTAGAGTCCCTTTATCCACAGGGAAGGGACACTTGGGTCCCCACTGTGAAGGAAAACATTTCTGCTTTTACCAAACTGGCAGGAGGCACATAGGAGGGCATCTACCCTGCTGGTGCCTGTCGTCTAGAAGCGGAACACACCTCTGCAGGAGGCTTAACAGCTGTTTTGCCACTGAGGTTTCTTACTAGCAATTTGGGATCCTGCCATCCCAGACTAAGCAGAGACCCAGGCTATCGATGCCTTCCTGTGGGATAAGGATCTAGACTCACACAAAAGCATCTTTCTGAGCTAATGTCCACACTAGGCTCCCTGTACAACAGAATTCCAGGAAACTGCCTTCCAAAAAGTTCTGGCCAATGTGTTCTGCATTTTTTGGCCTCCACATTTTCTTCACCTGGAAGATAGGCCTGCTAAAGGGAACCCATTCTAAATAGAAGTGCGGAGCCTATTTTATCCATGGTCTTCACTTGAACAGGCCTGAAAATGATGCCCTGCAGAACAGCAGAAAGGGAGGTGCTAGGAGGAACAATCAGTTAGGACCACTAGGCATTTCATTTCAGAATTCAGAAGGGAAATGACTACAATCTAGACTTTTCTTAAAAATCCTATTGTAACACAGAGACGGCTCAACTTGCATATTTGTATTTATTTTTATAAACTTACAGAGTGTAGAAGCATAAGCCAAGAGTTCTGTGGCATGCTCTAAATACCATAGGGTGCCACTCCCATCTGCGAGCTAAGCCAAATACACCCTCTCTGCCCAGGGCACTGCCACCTGCAGAAGCCAGGGACTATGATTAAGGCACTGGGCACCTTGGTGCCTTTATTGGTGGCATTTTGGCCTCTGGCCCCAAACCGCTGGTCATTTCTGCCCTGCCTCACTGTACGCTGTCCCTAGTTACAGGTCTCTGTAGCTTTTTCTACAAAGGTAAGACCACCCACAGTCAGCCAGCTCCGGCACATGCCCTGCAGGGACAGCTGCAACCAGAAACACCAGGGTGGATTCACAGCAGTGACTGCCCAGAGGGGCTTGGTCTTTGTATCCTGCTGTCACCCTCACACCAAAAAGCTGCCAAGTGCTTAGGCTACTCTGTTCTAATTAACTTCTCCACAGAAATGTGGCCCCCACTTGGCTTCAAAAGCTTTCTGGCCTCCGCTACCACCAGTCTGTCCCTACCCTGTTGTATATCCAAGCCCTGTGTTTGAGTGTACTTCTCCACCTCCACAGAAACAAAGGCCTGATACAGCCCCCAGGTGGGAGGGGTTCAGGACAGAGATGCTCTGGCCCCATGTGGGCACTCACACAAAGTGTTTGGAATGCTCAGCACCGTGAGGAGTTGCAGAGCCCTTTCCAGCAGAGAATAACCATCCACATCCCCGACTCTGCAGAACCAAGATAAGGTGCCTCTGGTTAGTCCCATCTCCCTCCTCCTGTGGTGCTGCCAGCTTGTACAATAAAGGTTAGCCATGGCCTCCCGGACACCATATATCCCTCTCCGCTTTACGATTCGAGAAAAGCACCAAGATGGATGACTTAGTCACCTGCCAAATGACAAGGCCTCTTATCTAAAATTCTGACTTAACGGGGTAGAGCAAGAAGAGTCCACGTATTCCTCGTATGTCTCCACAGTCATAGGACATTAAACTGGGCACGTTCCCGAATCCTGACTATTATGCCCATTAGGCTAGGAGCCCGGTCCATTCTCATGTGGTCTCCACGGCATGGTTCTACATGAGGCAAAACAAAACAATGAAAAGCTAAATTCTAGAGAGGGCAGGCAGAGCAAGAATGCTGTGCCACCGAGGTCATGGGACATGGTGCCGTGTCTGCTGTCTTCAGGCTCCTCCTCCCCATCCTGTCAGTGTCCTCTGAAGAGAGCAGCAGGGCTGCCCCAGTGTACCACTCACCCACTGCTACTTCTCAAGTTTAAAAAGCTAAAGAAATAGGAAATCCCCTGGTTACGCCCTGCCTCTCCCTCTGCTGGTCACCACAAGAACTGCAGGTCTTGGGGAGCTTCGGTCCCTTCACCCAACTATTTAGCTTTTAAAGACAGTGTGGAGGGACTCGCTAAGACCAAGGTGAAGAATGGTGGCCGAGAAATGGCAAATAAATAAATATATCCACAGCGGAGCAGACCTCTAGGGATAGGCTACCCAGAGTCCTTTGACCCACCCAGAAAGTTGGGCCAGCCCAGGCCCAGGGATTCTGGAAGTGCCATCCAGCAACATGCCGTGCTCTAGCCATAGTCAGTTACAGCCAGAAGAGGGCCAAAGGGTCTTGCGTTACCATCTCTTGAAGGTCAAACAAGTGACCCATCATGGAGCTAGCAAGAGGAAGACAGTGTATAGAATTTCTTGAACTGGTCCCAAATAATTCTTTTTCAAAGATTCTTAGCTAGAAGCCATAAACTGCTATGTTCTGCCTCCCTATGACACCAGCACAGCCTGGGCACAGTAACTCTCCTTTTCCCTCTAGGGCAGGACAACAAATACCAGCCAAGATTATTTCTTAGCCAGTTTTGTCCCTCACCATAAGAATCCCTGCTTCTGCCCCTATTAAAGTGATCTCTCCAACTGCCGACAGCAGAAGAAAAGGGCAGCATCCCATCTGTCACCCTATGATTCAGAGGGAGGCCTCTGGCCTGAAAAGCACCAGGTACAGGGTATCTGGGGTCAGTGACCTGCCCAGCAGGTCAGTGCCTCCAGTGATTCTGGGGCTGCCAGCAGGTCTTGCCACACTCTTGCTACTCCCGGGCCAACAGGGCTCTGCAGGCAAAGCAAGCAGGGCCCATTTAGGGGGTGATGTCTACTGGAGGGTACAGGAGGAAGAGTCCCCAAGACAGCACCAGCAGCAGGAGCACGTTGAGTTTATGGGCTTGGGGGGAATGAGGTCCAAGTCCTCATCATCTGGAGTCTCATCCAGGTGATACCCATCCTGGAGCAGCTGCCGGCTGACATCCTGATTCACCTGCTAAGAGCAGGAGAGAAAGAACTGATAAGCCAGGCTGCAAAGCACAAAGAACTGCTGCCCGAAAGGCAGACCCACACTCTTACCGTAGCTTCCTGTCCAGCTCCACGCTTAGGCCAACCCCATACATCTCTGGGTTACAGGAGGAAGGGCTACCTTTTCCTCACTGGGCCTCACCCAGCAGTGGGTGCTTGGGCCAGTACAGGACAGGCTGCACTGTCACTAACCCCCAGGGGAGCTGCTCACCAAAGAATCCTGAGGCATCTGATGTAAATACCAGATTCTACATTGTAAGTCAGTGCCCTGATGGCTGCCACCGGGAACCTCAAGGTGTCCCTATGAAAGCTAAAGACCACGGGGAATGACACCAGAACAGTGAGGTAGAAGAGTTGAAGAATGCGGGTTCAGGCAGGACAGGCCAGTTAGGCAGGCTGTCATCCCATGCCAGCAGGCCTCATTCCTACAAAGTGAAGCCTGTCAGCATGGCTTCACCAGCTCCACTGAGCAGAAGGAAAATGAGACAAGACAGTGTAGAACTTTCTTCAGCTCTTGGCTAATTTTTCTTAATTTTAACAATCTCAGGGACCCAGAAATCCAGGAGCATACAATATGTAAACTGCCTCTATGTAATATGTAAACTTCCCCTTGGCAGAAACTCGGGGCAGCCAAGGGTTTCCTGAGACGGAGGAAAAACTGCCGGTGGTGTAGTCATGTCCCCAGCATCACATCTCTGTCAAAGGCAGCAAGCTGCACAGGCAGAACTGTACATCCCTGTTTATGTATGAGACCATCACTGGAAACATGTTCAAAAGGCTAACCCGGGAGTCTATCAGCCTGAGTTCCCATCGATGGAATACCCGCAGGCACAGAAGTCATTTGGCCTGGAAGAAAGCAAGCTTGGGTGGAGGGTACTCAGGGAAGAGGACTAGAATGACAGTGAGAGAGAGGGCAGGCCTAGGGTCACTAAGTCCTGGCCACAGGAGACATTTCAAATCAGTAAGGAGAACTTCTCTAAGCGCCACCCAAGGAAGGTGATAGGCAGGTACATTACAAGTACCTAGTACATTGCAAGCAGCATTCCAGAAAGCACAGACAACTATACACTTAGCTATGACTTATCAAGAGGATTCCTTTTCTAAGTGGTGGCCTGGACTAGAGGATCTGTCGGGCCATTTCCAGCTCAGAGGGTCTCTGGCCTCCTAAATTTTCAACAGCTCTTCTCAGACACCTGTATCTTTGCTGGGGGAAGAGGACAGAGTAGACTAGAGAACAGACCATAGGCTGGGACAGTGCCAAGCACACAACAAGCACCAGACAAGAATCTGGCAGTGGCAGCATGCTGCCTGCCGCCCACCCCGGGCAGAAAGGCGCTCTGGACTTGCCTCTGCAGAGGAATACCCGGAGGAGTATCTGGATTCCAGCTCCCCATCACTAGGAGAAGAGGAAGATAGTCAGTTCAGGGGGATTCCTGTGGAGTACAGCTGCAAGTAGCAAGGTGGAAAGCATGCAAAGGGGGCTGGAGGACTGGTGAAGCAAAGACCACACACCATAGAATGCAAGCTGTGAGTACAAATGGCTCCTTCAATTGGCTCCAGTAGGGACAGGGTCACTGTCACTAACAGTGCAGACATGACAGGGCAGGATGATTGCCCCAGACAAGGATGGTGCTCGAGATCCAAGCATGATCCACCTGAGTCAGCCTCTACCCACGCCATCCTGGGGATAGTGCTCCAAAGGCAGCCCTGAAACATGCATGAAGGGTCTTGGAAGAGACAGGGAACAAGCGAAGGCACCAAGCGAGCTGCACTTTTACCCAAGTCACTCCCCAAGGGCTATGTCCAAGGAGTGCACTTACCTATCAGAGTCGAGGGACACCAGGTTTTCATCTGGACTCTGGCTAAGAGCAGTATAGCCCTTGTTAAACTTCACTGACCTGATATGAGGGAGAGACCAAGCACAGATGAGGCACTGGCACTTTCACAGGGCAAGCCAGAGTCCCCACCCTTCTGGAAAGGGAAGCACTCGCCTGACCTGCCTGCTACCTGCTCACACAACTGACTGCCTGCCCTGTGTCTGGCTACAGCTCCTCAAAATATGCACTTTCATACACCACTCCCCTCTTTGGCTCCTGGGGAAAAGTAAGCCTACTCTCTCCACAATCAGGAAACCCTCTCCGGCCTTAGTTAGCCAGAGACCAGAAAAACTGCAAGACCTTCACCTGTCTCATCCGCTGTAAAAGAGGCAGTGGCCGAGGCCCTAACCAGCGCTGAGCTGACCATTTTCTGACTCCCCCCACCGGCTGTCCCCCCTCTCTGGGGGCCCAGTCACTAGGCCTCCCCCAGCTGGGACCCAGTCAGGGAAGGCGCCCACCGGCCACAGCACTCGCTCCAAAACAAAGCCTTCCCTGGCGCCTACAGGAAAAGCAACGGCGCTTCCTGTCTCCCTCGGGAGGAACCTGCTGCCCGGGAAATTGCCAGCTCGGCCTAGCCGTGAGCTCGGCCTCCCGCCCAGGGACTCAGCCTGCTCTGGAGCTGCTTGCACAGAGGAAGAGGTACTTGCTGAGACCTTTTCCCTGAAGATTCGGGGCGGTGCAGGGGGGCCCCCAGCATGCCTTTCCTCCGCAGGACGGCCCTGGCCAGGTCCCGGTGCTTCTCTGCAAGTTAAAGGGCCCGGATGAGCAGGTCCCAGCCCCGGAGCCCGCGCTTTCCCAACGGCTGTTCGGGGGCGGGCGGCAGGCGCCCCTCGGGGCCCCGGAGCACCCCCCTTGGCCAGAGCCCCCCAGGGCCAGAGCCCCCAGGGCCAGAGCCCCCCCCGGGCAGAGCTCCCCCAGGGACAGAGCCCCCCGGGCAGAGCTCCCCCAGGGACAGAGCCCCCCCCCGACAGAGCCCCCCAGGAACAGAGCCCCCCCAGGGACAGAGCTCCCCAGGCAGAGCCCCCGCAGGGACAGAGCTCCCCGGGCAGAGCCCCCCCCACGGACAGAGCCCCCCCAGGGCCAGAGCCCCCCCAGGGCCAGAGCCCCCCCCCAGGGACAGAGCTCCCCAGGCACAGCCCCCGCAGGGACAGAGCCCCCCCCCCAGGGACAGAGCCCCCCCCCAGGGACAGAGCCCCCCCAGGGACAGAGCCCCCCCCCCAGGGACAGAGCCCCCCAGGGACAGAGCCCCCGGCAGAGCCCCCCGGGCCGCACTCACGCAGCTTGGCCTGAAGGGAGGGCGCGCGCGTCAGCATGTACGGCCCCCGCTTCTCCACAGCTGCCGGGGCCCGCTCTCCTGGCCGGGGGGCTCCGCTGCCGCTTCGCCTGGAGAGCGGACCGGCAGCCCCCACCGCCGGGTCAGTGGCCCCGCCGAGAGGAGGCCCGGGGACCGAGGCCCGCGCCGCGTGCCCACCGGGTTCCGCGGTCGCCATGGCCGGGCCGGCCCCGCCCCCGCTGCGGAGCCCCGCCCCCGCTGCGGAGCCCCGCCCCCGCTGCGGAGCCCCGCCCCCGCTGCGGAGCCCCGCCCCCGCTGCGGAGCCCCGCCCCCGCTGCGGAGCCCCGCCCGCGTCGGCCGGAGCGGGGCGGTCCCTCCTCGGCAAGATGGCGGCCCGCAGGCGCCCGCCGCCCCCGCCCACCGAGGGGTTGCCCGACTGTTCCGCCCCGCCGGGGCTCGTGTCGTTCCGCCCGCTCCTTTCCCCGGCGCTGCGGGGCCTGGGGTCCGCCGCAGCCGGGGGCGGCCGGGACCGCGTCTCCTCTATTTCTGGGGCTCCGCCGGCCGCGCCCTCCACGCCCGGCGCCCCGCGGGTGTCCCCTCCCCCAGCGGGGGTCCCCGAAGGTGGCCCGGGGCGGCCTGGGCTGACCCGAAAACTGCCCAGGGTGGAAAGCGGCGCTCGCGCCCGTCTCCGGAAGAGGCAGCAAGCCCGAGAGGAAGGGTCAGGGCTCTGCGGAGGTGACCCCGGAGGCCGGTCCGTCTAGGGCCAGGGCGCGTCCTTTCACCGGCGCGCGGCCCCGGGCGAGGCCTGGCCGTCCCCAGGCCCCAGTTTGCACACGTTCACACGGCCGTGCCGCTTCCCGTCGTGGGCCCCGAGCACGGGTGGATAGGCCACGGAGAGAAGGGGAGGTGCGCGCAGCGTGTGGGGGAGCACGGGCTGTCACAGCGCTTGACTTTTCTGGCCCCCAAGGGATGGCTTGTGGCTGGCTGGAAGCAGCTCCAGATCCTTGTAGGACTTGCCTGCCAGGTCTCATGAGGCTGTCCCCGAGGCGAGTTTATTGACCTCCACAGGGTAGATCAACAATGTGTGACTTCTGAGCCCCGTGGGCCACCCAAACAGGCAGGATATGCCTTAGGCAGAATTGGAGAATAATTACGGTTGGAGTTTTTGTAAAGTGGAAGTGCCACAAAGGAATGCTGATAACTGTCCATAGTTTGCACCACCCTTTTTTTTTTTTTAAAGATTTATTTATTTATTTATACAAGCACTGGGTACAGTCAGAAGCGCAGAAGGTTGAGAGGATTCACCAGAGCCAGAGTGGGGAACAGACCAGGCAGACTGACGAAATACACTGCTGAGGGGAGCAGTGGGCGGCAGGAGAGGTCTGCTGCCATGTGGGACCCTCGCCAAGTGGCCCAACCAGGGCTGCAGAGGCTGCAGGCAGCTTCCCAACCCAGAGCTCAACCGCTGTGCCTGCACCTTTTTTTTTTTTTTTAAAGATTTATTTATTTATGCGTACAAGAACTGGGGTGTAAGCCACAGGTGGGTGGGGGAAGGTGAGCGGATTCACCACAGTGGGGAGCAGAACAGGCAAATCTGTTACAGGACAGGGAGAGGGGCAGCCCAAACCACGCAAACCTGCCTATTCTACATGGGTTCTGCCATCCACTGCATCAACACAAAACATAGGAGACTTTAATGGGAAGGAACTTTAATAAAACTAGGAAACAATACAGGTAAGGCAAAGAGTCTAGTTTCTAAATGAAGCACCCAAAGTTACCCGTCAGCTCGTGGGTAAAACGCCATCCATGTGGGATCGGCCCAGAACAAGGCCCCAAAGCCTGCCACAAGTCTAAAGCATCTTCCAGTGGAGACCCACAGAAAAGGGTCACAAACAACCGGACAAGCCCGGAAGGAAAAGAGCAAAATCAACATCAAGATAAAAGCTGCCATGGTCACCTCCCCACGGGTCTCACCCACATCTGTGTCACCCAGTCCACGACCAAAAGACAAGCGCAGTTTTTTCACGTGTCTCTAGGCTCCATGCGCCTCCTCCAGGTCTCCTGGCTCCATCCTGCTTCCTTCCTCAGTCTCTTCTGCAGCTTCTCCTCTCCCTGCTCAGCTCCACCCTCCCTTGGGTGGGGCAGGGAAACTCCCCCTTTCCTGGGGACCACCCTGTTACAGATCTACTGAAATACCTGCTGCGGGAGGAGCAGGGGAGACAGGAGAGGTCTGCTGCACCATGTGGGTCAGCTCCCTGGCTGGGGATCTAACTCATGCCGGGTGACTGGCAATAGCTTGATAGTACTGAAGCTTTAACCCCTGTGCAGCTAGGGAGGTCCCTGCACGTGTTTTTTTGTTTTTACCTCTAGAAACAGCAATTTCATGAGATTCAGCTTAATAACTAACCTTAATAACCTCATAATGAAGCTGGTAGTGTGCCACTGTTATACAAATGAGGACAGACTAAGTCAAATTCATTGGGTAAACCTAAAATTTGAACCCAGGTCCCTCTGGGCGCTAAAGAATTTTTTTTTTTTTCTCCTGGCTGTGTAACCTGTGAATCTGGAGACCTCACCAACGGCCAAAGAAAAAGTGATGAAGACCCACGTGATGTCACACCTCCAGAACTTGTAGCAAGTGAGTTTGAGTGCCTTGCTCCACCATCTCTTCCCTCCACGCCTCCATCTCACATCATTAGTGCTCAGGTAATTGCAATGTGTGTGAACTCAGACCCCAAGTCCTGGTTATTTGCTCTGTCACTTACTGGCATTTTATTTAACCTTTTCATATGTTTTTCCTTAGCTAAGAAATGGGAGTATCAATAATACCTAAAAGAATTGAGGTTACATTGTAAAAGCTTACACTGTTCTGAGGATTTAGTGTTTTATCCTATTGGCTTTACACTCCCCAAGACAAGCTGCCTTATTCATCTGTATCCCTTGTTCTTAAACACCAAGTCATTGTAATAATATCTGTTGAATGAATATCTTACTACTTCCCCTCTTAACTTTTAATTTAGAATCACAAAACTTTAGGGCTGGTGGGGCCTCCCTCCGGGCCTACGGGTTAAGTCTCAGGCCTGTCACCTATAGGGCCTCAGTTCCATCCCCAGCCACATACAGTGCAGCAGACCTCTCCTGTCTCACCGCTGCTCCCCTCAGCAGTGTATTTCAGTAGATCCGTCTGTTCTGCTCCTCACTCTGTCCCTGGTGAATCCTCTCACACTCCCTCACCCCATACCTCTGGCCAGGGGGCAAAAGTTCTTCTACACACACACACACACACACATACTATCTTTTTATTATATATATATATATATATATATATATATATATATATATATTTACATCATTCTTCATTTTTGTACAATGTATGTTTTCTCATCCCAGTTATTGTCCCCGTGAAATTCCCACCACCAATTCACCCAAGTACCATCCCCATGTCCCTTGTGCTCTTCCCACCCCTGTTTTTTTTTGAAGATTTATTTATTTATGCATACAAGAACTGGGGTACAGGCCAGAGGTACGGGGTGAGAGGATTCACTAGAGACAGAGTGGGGTACACAACAGGCAGAATGACTGAAGTACACTGCTGAGGGGAGCAGCTGGGCAAGACAGGAGAGGTCTGCTGCGCCATGTGGGTTGCTCCCTGGCCAGGGATTGAACTCGAACTGCTGCAGAGGCTGTGGATAGCTTCATAGTGCTGTGCTTAACCCCTTGTGCCACCAGGGAGGCTCCCCACCCCCTTTATTATTTTTTTTTAAATGTATTGAGGACTTAATGTAAGGCAGATGTTATTTATTTATTCATTTATTTACATTTTTAAATATTTATTTATTTATTTATACAAGCACTGGGTACAGTCAGAAGTGCGGGAGGGTGAGAGAATTCACCAGAGCCAGAGCGGGGAGCAGAACAGGCAGAAGGACTGAGGTACACTGCTGAGGGGAGCAGTGGGTGGCAGGAGAGGTCTGCGCGCCATGTAGGACCCTCGCCCAGTGGCCGGGGATGGAACAGGCGCTGCAGAGGCTGCGGGCAACTTCACAACCCAGAGCTCAACCGCTGCGCCACTGGAGAGGCCCCCCCCCCCACCGCTCTTTTGATCCTACTTCCCTCTCCCCCACTGTAGAATGTCTGGTTTATAGTTGCTTGTTGATTTTGATATTTACTTTATTATAATTACTTTTTCCCTAGTCCCTTATTTGGGTCCTCTACATTCTTCCTAAAAGTGAAAATCATTTGGTATTTTTCTTTCTCTTTCTGGCTTATTTCACTGAACATGATCCCTTCCAGCTCCACCCATGTTACTGTGAATGGCATGAGTTTACCTTTTTTGATTGCTGAGTAATATTCCATTGTGTATATGTACCACATCTTCTTAATCCAGTCATCTATTTTTGGGCATGTGGGTTGTTTCCATAGCTTACCTATTGTAAATAGTGCTGCAATAAACATAGGGGTGCAGGTGTCTTTTTGAATTAATGTTATTGTGTCCTTTGGGTAGTTACCTAGGAGTGGAACTGCTGGATCATATGGTAGCTCCATTTTTAGTAATTTGAGGAACCTCCACACAGCTTTCCATAGTGTTTGGACCAGTTTGCACTCCCACCAGCAGTGCAGGAGAGTTCTTTTTTCTCCACACCCTCGCCAACAATTGTTGTTGCTAGTTTTTTTAATATGTGCCATTCTCACTGGTGTAAGGTGGTATCTCATTGTGGTTTTGATTTGCATTTCCCTGATTATAAGAGATGTTGAACATTTTTTCATATGTCTGTTGGCCATTTGCATTTCCTCTTTTGAGAAGTGACTCTTTTAGCTTCTCTACCCATTGTTTGACTGGGTTGTTTACTTTGTTGAGTTTTTTTTTTTTTTTTTTTAAGATTTATTTAGGGCCTCCCCTGGTGGCACAGCGGTTGAGCGCTGGGCTGCGAAGCTATCCACAGCCTCTGCAGCGCCGGTTCGATCCCCAGCCGCCGGCGAGGGTCCCACATGACGCACAGACCTCTCCTGCCGCCTACTGCTCCCCTCAGCAGTGTATTTCATCAGTCTGCCTGTTCTGTTCCCCACTCTGGCTCTGGTGAATTCTCTCACCCTCCCACACTTCTGACTGTACCCAGTGCTTGTATAAATAAATAAAATAAATCCTTAAAAAAAAAGATTTATTTATTTATGCATACAAGAGCTGGGGTACAGGCCAGAGGCGCAGGAGTGAGAATC